GGGACTCGGCCTTGGGTTGGACGGAGAAGTGGTGCCTTGGGGCGTGCCTGGGATCCGAACCCAGGCCGCCAGCATCAGAGCGCGCGCACTTAACCGCTAAGCCACGGAGCCGGCCCAACATTTTTTGTACTCTCTTGATCTTATTTTGCTATCAGGTAATACTGGCTTTGTAGAATGAGTTTGGTGTTCCCCGCTCTTCTATTTTCTAGAAAAGATTATGTAGAATTGGTGTTAATTCTTCTTTAAACATTTGGTAGAAATCGCCAGTGAAAGTCTGGGTCTGGAGATTTCTTTTCTTTTCTTTTTGTTTTTTAATCACTTTATTGTCTTTCTCTTCTAATTTTTTTTTTTTTTTGTGAGGAAGATCAGCCCTGAGCGAACATCTGTGGCAATCCTCCTCTTTTTTGCTGAGAAAGACTGGCCCTGGGCTAACATCTGTGCCCATCTTCCTCCACTTTATATGGGACGCCGCCACAGCATGGCGTGACAGCTGGTGCATCAGTGTGCTCCCGGGCTCTGAACCTGGGCCGCCAGCAGCGGAGCACGTGCACTTAACCACTACACCACGGGGCCAGCCCCTGGAGATTTCTTTTTTGGGATATTTTTAATTACAAATTCCATTTTCTTAATAGTTATAGGACTATTCATTCTCTTTTTCATATTGAGTAGGTTGTAGTAGCTTGCCCTTTTTGAGGAATTGATTTTTTTATATAAGTTGTCTAATTTATGTGTGCAGCTCTATCATTTGGTCCACACACACGTAAATTTTGGTGGATTAACCCTATTATCATTATATAATGTACCTCCCTGTTTCTGGTAATTTTCTTTAGTCTGATGTCGACTTTCTCTGATATTAATATAACCACTTACTTCTGCTTGCTTTTTATTAGTGTTTGCATGGTCTCTCTTTTCCGATCTCTTTTCTTTCAGCCTACATATATCATCAGATTTGAAGTGAGTTTCTTGTAGACAGCGTGTAGTTGGGTCATCCCCCCTGCCACCCTGTCTGACAAATCTCTGGCTTGTAATTGGTATATTTACACCTTTTACATTCAGTGTAATTTTTGATAAGGTTAAGTATGCCATTTTAATTTTTGTTTTCCTCTTGTACTGTTTTTCATTTCTTTGTGTTCTTTTATTTAAGCTTTTTGTGAGTTACTACAACATGTTTTAGAATTACATTTTGATTTTTTTTTTTTTTATGAGGAAGATCAACCCTGAGCTAACATCCGTGCCAATCCTCCTCTTTTTGCTGAGGAAGACCGGCCCTGAGCTAACATCTATTGCCAGTCTTCCTCCTTTTTCTCCCCAAAGTCCCAGTAGATAGTTGTATGTAGTAGTCGCGCATCCTGCTAGTTGCTGTATGTGGGATGCCGCTTCAGCGTGGCTGGACAAGCAGTGCGTCGGTGCGTGCCCGGGATCCGAACCCGGGCCACCAGTAGTGGAGTGCGTGCCCTTAACCACTAAGCCACGGGGCCAGCCCCCCATTTTGATATATCTGTAATGTTTTTTGAGTATATCTGTTTGTATTGC